CTGCTATCTCTCCGCGGTAGTGAGTGAATAACCACAGACTCTTAGTGGTGACAGCGGCAGAAGAGGCCGGTATGGCGACGGTGGTGGATGACGGCTTGGGGGCTAGCAAGCCCAAGCAGGACGCTGCAACATCGGTGATCATCACTTGTAAGAAAGGCAGCAATGCTTAATATTACTAGCATGCTTCAAAAAAAGAATACTAGATATAAGAGACTTTTCCATGAGATGAGATGCTACCGGACGAGATGATGCGTAAGACAGGCTCAAACCGTCATCGTGGCGCTCTCAGCTGTGTATAAGCTAGCGGTATCACTAGTACTACTACTGCTGACACGGTAGCTATTAGTGTTTATTAGAAGTGTTCAATAGCAAAAGTTTCTCAAGAAAGCGTTCATCTTATTGCTTTCTCTGAACTATTTTGACGCGCGGCAATTACGCATACCGTGGTTTCGTATCACGCTATGCAACTACGGGAAAACTTCGAAGGGAACTTTTCGCGACGACGTTCGCTCTCTCACGTAATGATTAAACCTCTTACATACATCTCATTGTAAATTGCAGATATTCACATTGTTCACCCGGTGAGGCTGTCGGGCTGGTCGTTCAATCGTTACCATCACATTGTCGGTCGCTTTTTCGATTGTTTATTTCAATAAAAACAAAAAAAATCATCATAAAAAAAATCACGACTAATATAATGCTAATAATGCGGTTACTATTTGTTTGCAAATTGTGATTTCACTATCGTTTCATTATGACTGATAGATTATCGTCCATCGAGAACGACCCGCACTTGTCTTAAGATGCTAGAGACGCTTTCGCTTAATGGTATCAGAATTGAACTGAAGTAGTATCTATTTTATGGGTAGGAAACAAATTCGACTAAGGCAGAAATTTTCCCAGCAAAATGTTAACCCCATCAGCCCATTGGTATCTGGTTCCTCCTACACGAAACATGTTCTTCTGGTAGTTGACATCGTCGCAGTTGAATCGTCGTCATGGTGGCTAGTGGCAGAAATAATACGACCGTATAGCGTTCCACAGGGTCCTGCCTCTTTTTGTCTCCTTGACGTTCCATTTCACTTATTCGTATCACGCCTCTGCAACTACCACGTTATCGTTGCCGAAATTCCTCCATTATCTGTCCCTGACTTAGACGCCGTTTATTATTTCGTTTTTTTTGCCGTCGCATTGTTCTTTTCCTGGTCCGATCTTCTGTCTCATTATCATTGCCATCGCTTCCCACGTGGTCGTCGCCGTTGTCGGCTGCTTTCGTTACAATGACGCTGGCTAAAGAGGGTGGAGTCTTAGGGATAACCGTGTTGTTTAATTCAATTCAATTTCACTTAAACATCGTTGCTCTCCCTTTCTCGCACATACTTTCTGTGTTTTTCGCTTTTTTTGGCGGCTTCACAAACGTCCTGGCTTGCTAGCCCTGCGTTCGCTTGTTTTGGTCGGTCCCGCCATGCCCTAACGCCGCTACAATGCTTTTGCCCAAGCCTGTCGATGCCTTCAGGGAATACTTCACTCACATTGAGCTTGGTCCTAGTCGCTGTAGCGGCGCTACTAGACCCGTTGTCTTGATGAGATCAAAGCCCCCGTGGGTTTTTCTGCTTTTTCCTTAGACCAACCGATCTTCATTCAGTCTCTTCAGAGCTGTGGACCTCATTCCATACTCCTTCTCACAGCAACTCTGTGGTAAGAGAAGGGGTTGTTGCCGCGCGTCCCTTGGTCGCTAACTCTTCCTAGCTTCCTTGGCTAGTTCGTTGGTTTCCGCACAATGAAAGCCGAGAAAGAGCGTACCACGTTACGGAGTTGAGTGTATGGCATCCTTGTCTATGCCTGTATGTGAGTGTACGCTTGTGTATTTTCTTGTCTAGCAACGTATGTCTAAGATGCGTAAGGCTTCTAAGTTGATTCTCGGGGGAACAACCGCAGTCTGCTTCCTATCCGTTGTACGTTCGTGGCAGGCTGAAACCGTTGCCAGGAGGGAATGTCGTTTGGCCATCTTCCGCAAAGCCGCATGGGGTGGGGGGTGAGGAGAAGTAAATCTACTCCGTGCGAAAGAGTAGTGCTGCTAGTTGTTGTCTAATGTCAGAGGAGACTACTGTCCAACGTACGAACTGACCAGGATGATTTGCCATCTGTTCCTCCCTAATAATTCTCTTGCGAAGAAAACCCATTCAGTGTAGAAGAGCAAGCGTCTTCTGTAATGTTGGACTTCATCCAACACAACAGGACGATAAACGGACGCGAACGTTATCAGAAGCAGTGGCGGCAGTGTAGAAAAGCCGCGGAGGCCGGGTACGTCTGTTTATTTCACTCCTAGAAAACCTACTGCTGGCCCAATGTACTGGATTCCAAATAGCCGACAAAGCCACTGCGGTGGTTATTTGGGGAACCCCCGCAGGGAACAGAAGAAAGACCGACCATGGAAGCACTTCTTTTCTTGCTCAGGTGGGGAGTTGGGTGTCTGTTTGGTCGGGTATTACCTATTTGCTTGGCTCTTTTTCTATATATTTCAGCGTAGATGTGCGTGCCTGTGTGTAAAGATGTCTGACTAAAAACTGTGAGTTTGTCTCCCCCCCTTTTCGAAGCATACTAGCTCCGGAACCAACATTGGCGAGCGTTTTCCCAAGAGGTAAAAATCTTCCTGAGAGGAAAAACATCATCGCGAACAAAGAATATAGCTAGCCAATGAGACCTAGAGAAGTAGGGCTGCCGACTGCCTGGCTAAGCACATAAACGCAAAATGCACTGGGACATTGGTTTAGCCTAACCTATAATATGCGCTGCAATGGATGGGGTGTCTATCGACAGTCGGATGTGACTAACAAAGCTGCGTGGTTGGCCAGCGATCTGACGAAACGGATTGACTTCATTCGATCACCTTAGAATTTTCTCCATGTTATTTCATATAATAATAATTTCAAAATTTCCCGTGCCTGCATAGCACTAGAAAGTCTTCAACATTGCGTGGTAGAAAGCAATGACTGAATCACACACAAACGCTGCAAACGCTATGACATTTCTTGCTTTATCATTACATTGAACGAAAGAGCGGATTATTTCTAAGCGGTAGCCAACAAACAGTCACACGCCGGTCAGGTGGGTGCATACGTTGTCATAAATCCTGCCGCATTTTCAATATACATTTATTATGTCTCCTGGTCACTGGCCACTTTAATGTTAAAGCGTTGGTACGCGACCTGCCTGAGAAGACCTGGAGCACCCATTAGAGTAAATAGCCTCTAAAATGGAAGCGAAATGGGCGTTGCTAGAACGTAGATTATTAGAGGAACAAAGAGATCGTCACAATAGATTTATTCGAGAGTTTAAATCGATGCCCCTTTAGTAGTCGAGGGCATTGCCATATGTTCAGTCTATACGATGCAATTTTAAGATGTGTAATTGTTTTCGTGCAACTCGAAGTTGTGTACATGCATGTATCGCTAGTTGACATCGTTTGTTTAAGTGGCAGGCGATTCTTAAGCGCGTAGATGATAATATCTTTTTCACGAGTGGTGGCATAGTTATTGCAGGTGCTCTGACAATTTTTCTATATTACTGTAGAAGTATCCATTAACATCATAAATTGTCTGTTATTTGCAAGAGGCTTGGCTCTAACATGTCCGCGTGCTCTGAAGGTGATAAGTGTAGCGAGCTATGGCGAATGATAAAGGTGGAGTGGAGGATGCAATTGATATCTTGGTTGTGGTCCCGTGACGTCTCGCATCTTTACGGTGGCCCGTCGAGGTGGGGTTTGCTGCTGGGGCGAGTCGGGGGGAAGCTAAACGAAGGACAAGAGGCGACTTGAGAAACACTGGCGAGCATTCGTGTCATTATATATGTATATATACATGATAACAAGTATATATACATAACCTTTGATGTGCTTGGCAAATATGGAGCTCCACGTGTACACAAAACATTAGAAAAACCATTGGAATGAGCGTTGGCTGAATTGCAGAAATTAATTTCTTTCTGCCCCAAATTAAATTCGTGATTGACGCCAATTTTCTGTGCAGGACAAATGCACAGTAAAAATAAAGCTTATATGACATCGTATTAATGTATAACACAATACAGACGCGCATCCGTGATACCTACTAATTCAATTTAAATATACACTTCAAAATTCAATAACCAACGCAATGAATTAGTGCCTTAAACACTTTATCTTGTGTTTTCAAATACTGATTACAATTAAACTGTTTTTGTTCGACCGTTCGTTCCGTCTCGTGTCTATTTGCGCTCTTAGAGATTTCATGATAGCGTAGCTATAATATTGTACGCGCATACTTTTTCAATTGACCGCTATTTTGTTTTTGAAAGAGCTGAGTAGCTCTTTCATTGTGGCGCTTTAGAAAGATACACAGCTTTAGCAACTGGACGTTTTAAAAAAACGTATTTGGTTCATTTCCTACGGAAGCTGTTAGAATGATCGGGCCTTGCTTGTGCTTGCATGATTTCCGTTTGGCGCCGTCGGCAGCACCGACTCGAAAGCCCTGCATCATGAGACGCAAGGTAGGGGAGCGCGGCTTGGAAGATGTTGATCAGTAACGTTTTTATGGGAAATGGCAAGATAGACAGGGAATAGGTTACGTTCGGGTGTATGCCTGTAAGTAATCATAATAGTAAAAGGACAAAGAGCTTTAGGGAGGACAACCGGCGCAGCCATGTCCCTTTCATTCTCAGCTAATGAAACTGGACGTGACTGTGACGGAAACTTGTATGATGCATAAATACGTTGTGTGTTAAAACTGCAGCACTGAATGACGTTCAAATGTTTGTGTGGTCGTACAGATGTCCCAAGAAATGAGCTCCTTTATGTGCAATCCTTTAGACCAATCGAAACTGTAATATATATCAAACAGACAATCGAATCAGACACATACGTAAACTGTATATTTATACACATTATTTTCTTATGTTGGTATGAGGTTCTGCCAAGATCACAGTGATATTAACAGTGTTTGTTTGCTTTCTCTGAATTCTAGGTGTGTTGTGTGAGCCGAACCTATTCGGATATCGGCCATCTCAGTAAGTACTGGGCTCGTCTCCACCAGCGGAGACGTTAGAACTTGTGCCGCTGATATGGGACGGCCAGATGAGGTTGTATGCGATAACAGCGTCAAGTGGCGACTTTCAAGCGATCGGTCCTTTGGGTTGCCAAAGAGCAACGGGAGCCCCATAGTCATAACTAGCTCCACGACGACGAGAACGCCCGTTTCTGTTCGCCTACCACTGGCGGCGAATGACAGCCGTAATCAAGATGAAAGCCTGATGAGTATGAACTGTTTAACAGGCGCCGGCGCCATCGGAGGCAGTGTGTGCGATAACTTTACGCCGGACCGTTTCGTTGCCCGTCTCGCATGGCCTGTTTACGATAGGCCCACCGCCTCCGCACAGAGTAGGCCCTTAGGACCGGTGCGCGCCCTAGGATCTGGCACGCACGTGAACAGGCGCCGCTGTTTGCAGCGCCTCAACCTCAGTACTAAGGCCCATGTCAACAACAGCACAATTGTCACGTCACCAACAACGAACCAACAGCAACACAATGACATCGCTCACCGTGTGGGAGGGTCAGCAACAACTATAATAGCTGTTTTTAAAAAGCGTTGCAGCAGTGATCATGACGAGTCGCGTCTTCGCCTTCGGCAGCGTCAGTTCGAAGCGAATGAAGCCTCGTGGAGAACAGGAGGATGGCGAGAATTGCAACAAGCAGGCCAAGAAGGACACAAGGACAAGGATGTCGAGGAATTTCAGGAAGAGAAAATAGAAAAGGTACAGTTACAGCAGCCCCTTCAAACGTATTTTGACCAACTAACCGCAGAAGAAAAGCGGGTTGAGCTCCTGTCACGGCTTAGGGCAGGCACCACGCTGGCTGACGAAGTTGGCCAACAGAAGAGCCCTGACGAGGTATCTGGTCTCCGTAGTGATCTTAGATGCGGCAGCCTGCGACCGGACTCGGCAGCAATTACTGCAGGTGCTCGCCGAAATGACAGCAGCTGTTCACCAAACGAAAACATTGACCCGACTGGGTCAACTTGGAAGAAAATAGATGGTACTCGGAGGGAGGCTGCTGTTAATGCTGGCCACCAAATTATCGGCAGAGGTCCCAATTGCCAGTTGTCGCCATCGCTGCAATTCACCATGTCGAGAAAGAGGAGTTGGCGATTACCCAGCCTTCTGCTGCTGCCCCTGCTAGTCATGCTATCGACGTATGACCTGCCAGGGGCGGAAGGCGCCCCTAAGAAGCATAGTCACGAGAAGATCAAATACATCTCGTTCACAGATCCGACAACCGAGCGATTTATCCACCAGACGATGTATGATCACACGGGCAATATCTACGTCGGCGCGGTCAACAAGATCTACCAACTAGACGAGAACCTAGAACTGCAAAGTGTGGCGCAAATGGGCCCACAGGGCGACGATCCGTGGTGCCCCGTCACGAGACAGTGTCCGACCATTCAAAAAAAACCGCTCGACTACTACAACAAGGTGCTCGTAATCGACTATGTGAACTCGCGGCTGATTTCATGCGGTTCTCTATTTCAGGGCGTCTGCTCTGTTCATCGTCTGGACAATGTGGCCGATTTTCGCTCTCCGGCCCACGAGTCCGTCGTGGCCAACAACGCGACCGCGTCGACTGTCGGTTTTATCGGAAAAGGTCCCAACAACCAGCGGGTTTTGTATGTCGGTGTTTCATACACGAATAATGGCCCTTATCGGTCCGATGTGCCGGCTGTCTCTAGCCGAAGCCTGGACCTTAACAACAACACGTTCAATATCGCCGTTACCGGAGTATCGACCGGGACGCGCGTAAGCGTCAATTCGTTGGCGCGCGAATTCTTCCCCATTCACTATGTGTTCGGATTCACGTCGAAAGATTTTTCGTACTTGCTTACGGTTCAGAAGAAGGAAACGGATCGGCCTTATCCTTACATCTCGAAGCTGGTGCGCGTTTGTCAACGCGACGTGCATTATTACTCCTACACGGAGGTGGCGCTTGTCTGTCGCACACCAGAGGGCACGGACTACAATCTGGCTCAGGCTGCCTACGTAGGTAAACCGGGCTCAGAGCTGGCCGTGAGCCTCGGCATCAGCGCTCAGGACGACGTGCTGTTCGTGGTCTTCGCCAAATCGGCCGATGAAAGCGATGACTCCCACAACAAGCCGACCCGCAAGAGCGCTCTGTGCGTGTATGCCCTAAGCGCCGTGCACCGAAAATTCACACAGAACATCCACCACTGCTTCAATGGCCATGGACAACGAGGACTCGATTTCATCAACCCATCGCAGCCTTGTCAACTAACGGTAAGTTACAAATTTGCAGGCTCACAAATGCACAGGACAGTACGTAGACGACGCGGTATATATACGAGACAGCAGAACGGAGTCAGGGTAGATAGCCAGTGGGTTAAAAATTATTTGGTTTATTGTTGTTGTTGCGAAAAATTAAATGTGTGGCGCTTGGTATTCATTCCGTTGAACGGTAAAAGCAGGGTATAAAAAACTGAATGTTATCCTTATCGTAATCATAACCTTGTAGTTGTTCCCAAACCATTGTGCGCCTTTGGTGACATTCTAGTGGACCGCGTGTATTTGTAAGCGATAGAATCGCGTCATGTATATCGGTTTTACCGACGACTCTTTTGTACATACTGGCGTTTTCTGTGTATAACAAGCTGCAATGGCACGAAGGCTCGATTTCATCTTTCTCGACCCAAATAGAGTAATCACTTGTCTGGTTGAATTTCAATGTAAAACTCCAATTCAATATCCTCTTAGATTGCTAGCAAGTCCACAAAAGATCTCTCGATTCCCAGCTAGAAATATTGACGGGTTCAGACATAGGGCTCCAGCCATCCGGACAACTCGTGTTCCTTTGTTGTCTCGCAATATCTTGCTTCCTATGCCTGCCGCGAGCTGTTACGGCTGTTGTCGAACCCAGCAACTACGATAGCTGTAGTTACTATAGAGGCAGCAAAAGGCTTTTCGTGGTTGCGTGAAAAGAGCCTCTAGCCCAGTTTAGCTCCGTCTTCATCCAGCCCAGGGAATGCTACCTTACATTTAGAAGTGGTGGGGTGGAAAATGGCTGTCTAGGCTGCCCGTAAGATCTGCGGCAAAGCCTGAATCTGTGGAAGCAGCACGCGCGAACAGTATATTAGGTGAAGGGCCCGGCCGCAGTAGAGGGAGCCGGAGATTCTTGCTCGGTTCATGCAAGCCCTTTTGTTCGTGGTAAGTGCTTTCTTGCTGACAAAGTACACGAAAGCCCTTTGCCCTCGATCTAAAATGGCGAGCAGTTGGTATGACTACCACTACTACTAAGGGGTGCTTCAACGAACCCGCTGACGTGATGCAAACAACGTCAACGGGAGAGGGATAGTACGGTACGCATGCTCTGGTCGGGTGTCCAACCCCGCTGTAGTAGCTCAGTTAAGGGAGGTTAAGACGAAGAAACGACAATTCGTTATGTAAAGAGCCCTGCTTAAGGGCGAGCAAGTTGGGGTGTAAGGACTTGCTGCGGCGAATGTCGAACTTGAAAGGGCTCAATCCGTTTTCGGAATGCGATTGCCGGGAAGCCGGAGTAAAGGCGCTGAGCAACAATCTGTAATTTTACACGCGGACAGTTCGCCGTACGCGACTGAGTGTTTGGTAGGGTCGAGTGCCCACGAACTAGTTCGTGGGTGCAGGCCGACACGTGTTAGGCAAAGGAAGGATCCTCCTACAGTCCGCTGTATGCCACAAAGCAGCGGAAGCGTCCCCAACGTAGAAAGGCAGATAAGCCGTTGCAGGAAGTGAGAAAAGAGGGAACTAGGCTTCGCGAAACCTTTCTGCTAACGAAACTTTCGTAACAACAAATCGGCAGCAAAAGTAAAGTGGGCTGGCAATCTACGCCTCAAGTAAGCGAAGTAAAGCCGTAGCTTAAAAACCAAAAACCTCTGTGTTTTGTTGAAACTTGTGTGCGTTTCTCGGTCGACGAACATGACCATCGTCTCTATTGCTTGTGTTAATGTTGGTAGCTAATGCTAAATAGGGTGGATCCTTATTCGTAGGAAGCAGGGGGCGATGCGCAAGCCTATCGAACGTGTGAAAGCGCACATAAATTCTTATAGAGATGAATAAGTCAATAAAGATCGTTCTGAAAGAGAAAACCCTGAATGCCGACAAGGCAAGATGGTTGGTTGGTGCACACCTCGATATCATAAAACTTCCTGCACGTGAAATGTCTTGTAGTGGATATATGTTATATAATATTTTCCTTAGTGACACTTAGTATGACAATCGCAATTAAATTACTAGCTAAAACTAGTCATATAGTCTAGCTTTCTCATACAACTGAATGCAAGCATCTACCACCAGCATGTCCAATGTAAGAATCTTAAACCGGCTCACAATGATGTCTGATATATAACCATGGCTTTATTGATGGTCATAAGCAGTTGGCCATGTTTCAATCTTGTCTTTTTTCCGTTCGTACGTGAACACCACTTCGCAGTCTACCAGCACGCAGCCATTACCCGGTAGCGGACGTAGTCTGCGAACTCGGCTCGTCCCTCCTGATTTCGATAGTCGCTTACCATCATGTATATATATACATATATATATATATATATATATAATGTTGCCACCATTTGCTTTATGAACGTTATGTGCAATACCAGTGAGTTCGAGCTGAGATACTCTCTATTTGATCCATGGAATCTGTTTCGTCAAAGTAGATAGTTCGCTATCGACAACCAGCTAACTCCTAGATAGCAAAAGCGCTAGCATAATCTCTCTTAACACGGTAGAACTTACTCTAAATTTGTTAGAATGACCCAGCATCTTTAAACATGATCAGGTATATCGCAAATTGCTGCTTCTCAATTCCACCGTAAACAGGAAAACCAGTATCAAACTAGCACGTAGTAAACCTATGGTTTTCGTGGATCCGACAAACAACTGTTAGTCATCCGGCCAACTGCCAAAGTTATCAGTAGCTGTAGAAACTGAACGATATGGCAGTATAACACGATGGCTAGCTACGGGGACATCCGTTTTAGAAAGACGGATGTATATTCATTGTGGCGGTAAGTCTGTTCCGGACAGCCTTACAGTTTGCCCAAGTCAGAGCGGAGAAGGCAGAGAACAAGGTTCAGAACTGAGGAGCATCGGAAGAAGGCAAGTCAGAAGAGTGGAAGGGTTTTACGCAGAGGGTGTGGCTCAGGGAGTCTTACCAGGTTTTTCGTGAATGCACTACAGCTGAGGCAACTAACTGGGTAGACTTACCTCGCGGACGACACGAAATGATGCCCTGTAATACGGCATTCGTTGGCATCGTCCGTCGCTGGCGATAGCCCATAGAAAGCCGTCAGAACAACAAAGATTTGAGCCGAAAGGTGGGATAGGTGCTGCCCGCTGGGAACAGCAAAAAGCCACCGAGCGACTGACGGTAACAGCTGTTACGACCACTACGGTCGCTGGCGAAGCTGCTGCCGTTTGCAGTCGAAAAAAGGTGCGATATGACAGACGCAGTCAGCCGAGAGGATTTCGGTGATGGATCAACAAGCATGGTCGGACGGGTGGTCGGTGCAAGCGGAAAAGAAGCGCTCCTCTTTCTGTTTTGCGTCGGTAACGGGTCGGCTGAAGTACAGTACGCTTTTTTATTTCCTCTCCGGCGGAATGACGAGCTGCCAGCTACGGTTATCTGCTTAGCTCTATGCGCTATAACTAGATCTGCTATAGCTTAAACGCCCGTATATGAGAAAACACACGACATGACCAATCGGAACTAAGGTGAAGTAAGCAAGACCGGAGGGTGCTAGAAGCAACGATCAACCACCAAACCACTAGCAGATCAGCCGAATGGAGACCAGTCTGGAACCGGCCAACCTGGACAAGATTGCCTGGGCTTAGTCGAGGTATATAGCCCTGTAAAGTTAGAGTGACAGACTGTGCAAAATGCGTAAATATGGAAATGTAGAAACGGCCGCTCGATATTACCTTTTGCTGCTGCAAATAGTATGCATGGCCAAGCGGCACTGATCAGACTGTGCAGTGTCTGAAGATAACGACAAAAAAAGTTGTCGCGGCCATCTTATTCGATGCTGCGCTTGTCATTAAGGGTCATTTCCTGGTAGGATGCATTTGATGACTACCTGCGCAATTGCCGAATACGGTTGGCATGTAAAGATTCATGCTAGAGCTGACGTTCAATTCATTTGAAACCGATTCAAAGTACTGATAGTGAATGTAAAAGGCAGTTTGTCTCTAAAAAATGTAAAAGGCAGCTTATCTCTACATCTTTGTTGTTTATCTATACACGCTTATGTTAGACTGAGCTTTGAATTGGTAGCGTTACTTTCCAAGTCCATTCTATACGTATAGTATAATTCAGCTAAAAGTATTAAAAGCATATTTTCATTGACTTAAATGAAAAGTTTTCTTCTGCTGCTTGTTCTACGTTTGTTGAGAAAAACTTCATTATCGACAGAAAGTACTAGTGCCGCTGACGGCGGCGATGTCACGAAAACTTGTCGGAACCGTCGATCCCGTCCAAAAGGGTCGATTCATGTGCACGGCGGCATTTCAGTGCTCAAGTAGTGGAATAGTAATGAGCTTTGCATTTCTGTTTGTCCTGCTGCCACATATTATATCTGCTAGCAATTGGCCATCTAGGCACTTAAAATGCGCAGTTTTTTGTCCGTGCAGTCGATGCGTGCCTGCACGTTTTCTGCTTCGTGCCGGAGGCAGTTGTTTATATGCTGATTTTTTGATCGTTAATTCTTCATTTGCGGCCACATTCCTGGCCTTCGCCTCGATTAGCAAGCGTACTTTGGCAGCGACTTCGAGGGAACAAGGCTGGACGTTATCTGAATCACCGTTATGAGTCTGGTTGAGTGTCTGCGGTTGTTAGGTTCATGCCGTTAGGTAGCACCAGCGGTATAGTGCGACCATGGTCTTTCTTAACCTGGAAAAAATGGCTCGTTACCGATGCTTTCACTTCGACAATGTTTACCACTATGGACGCCGCTGATTGTAGGATGTACGTCTTGTGGAAAGACGCAGCCCGACGCTGTCGTTTATATAGCGGTTTGATAATGGCTCTTAGTTCGCGCGGATTTCACAGTTTGCTTTACGTCACAACCGAAACCATTACTGGTACAGTGGCTTCACGCTACCAATTTACATTTTACCATCACATTTAGCTGCTCTCACTTGGATATTTTGATACAATGAGACGAACAGCCAATGACTGCTAGAATCTATGTCTGCTGCCTGTGCGATCGAGCCAAATTGTCATCGGTACAAATAGTCACACGCTGTTGTGG